GATTTGCTACTATACAGCCCCTCATTTAGGCCACGCACACAGGCCCGATTCCTTTTACAAAGAATGAAGCGACTGAAACCGATTGTTAGGTGTGCGCTGTTACATTCTGCTCAGACGAATCTCTTACTCTACTTTATTCGGCGCGTGATTGTTCCCAAACTCACATTGCCATTTGATTTTGAATCATTATACTTTGACGCGATTTTGTGCGATGATGCGCGGCGGAACCTCAGGAAAATTCCGTTACCGCTGCACATAAATATGAACAGCCCAATAAGACCCCTTGAATGTGCGCCGCACGACCCTACATCGCTTCCACATCGCACCCTTCACGCGCTTCACTCCGCCCTTACATCGCATTCATCGCTTATCGTTTGCTAAAAATCCGGCTACGGTTGTTGGCGGTCGGCCTTTTAATTCTTTTTCTTTTCAAAATACGAATTGTCCCAGCAAAAAGATGTAACGATGCTTCTTTTTTTAGCTCGGCACGGCTCGCGCCTCGTTAGATTTTACTACATTCGAATATGTTTTTCAGATCCGCAAAAAATGCTTCTCGGATGACTTTCAACTGCGACACGGCAAAATCTTCATCTATTGCAAGAACTGAACTCGCGACCTGCATCAATCTCCTTAGCGAGGACTGGAGCGCTCGAGCGGCGGGAAACGCTGGACTGCGAGCACTAGGCATATAATCATGTCACCGCTTTACGCTATCTCGTCGCACTAATCGCAACTAGTATATGAATGCCATGCGTCGCTTATGCATGCCCGCTCAGAAAAGAATAACAAATGTCAAAGTAAAATAATTCGTTGTGTAGTAAACCTCTGCCGTGCCGACCACTCGCCTCCGTGTGTTGTAAGTAAATGGGCAAACCGTGTTGTGTGAATTAATGCGGTGTAAATGACATTGCGCCCAGTAGCGTCTATATACTCTACTATATATAATAACGATAGAATATGTCATAGATAAAATCATAGTGGTTAATATATATAGATCGAGTTGAAAAGGATTCCGGCAAGGCGGAATTGAATAAAGCGCGTTACGGGGGGCCGCGCGGAGTGATTCTGATGGAGAATTGTCGCGCGGCCGGACGGATCAGGGTAATGCGCGCGCCAGGCCCCTTGTAAATATGTTGCGCGGCGGACATTGAAACTCGCACAGTTAAGCCTAGTTAGGGCTCGAGCGCGACGCGCTGATTCCAGTAGGTATACGACAGCACAAATAACATGCTAGTCAATTAACGATCACATAATATGTTTAAGTTAGTATATTAGTAATCGGGTTACGCAGCGGAGAGAATTAGTAACGCTAGGCGCGGCCGGAATTGTGTGAGTAAAGCTGTCGCTTGAATTCTATACTACTGCAACATTACTAATTTTATTGGATTATAACAATTAGTATATTTAATTGTTTATCGTTTGCCTTTGTGGGACGCACATTCATTATTAAGGAGGTTAGGTTGGGGGGTAGAATTGTTGTCGGGCATGTTAGCAGCGGTTAGCTAAGTAACTTTATCTATCTACACTAAGAGAACTATAGCTAGAAGACTTATGTAAAAAAACTAACTTTTTAGTTGAAAGTAGTGTATCTATTATCTATTCTATCGCTACTATCGTATCTATCGATCTATCTTATCTATCTATCTATCTATCTAGTTAGTTATCTATCTAGTTCTATCTATTATCTAGGTTATCTAATCCGTATCTATCTACGGTACGGTTATAGGTAGTACGTAGTATATATAGTTATTCTCGTAGTCTTCGTCCCTGGCCTCTGGTTGCTCTCTCGTTTTTTTGTTTTTTTCAGTGTCGCTTCTGCGTCGTCGATCTCTCGATCGTCTCTCGTCTGCCGTCTCGTCGGGTCTTCTCTCTTCTTCTCTACTGCGCTCTCGTCGGTTCTTGCTTCGATCGTCTCTTAGTAGCTATAGTCAATATATATATTCATAGTATAGTAGCTATAACTTGTCTAGTAGTGGTCGAGTGAGAGATGCGTTGGAGGTGAGCCGGTGGAAAAGGCCGGCGAAGATGTCTGAGATGGTTGGTATCGATGGTTCAGGACAAGCCGCATGTGCGGCTGTGCGGAACGGGAACGTGATCGAAAGCCTTAAGCAGAGTCGGACAGCGGCACTATTCGGATGACGTGCCGTGTTGCGGTAGTGCATATATATATATATGACGTCCCAGCTGTGTCGGTATCGGCCTTAAGAGGACTATTCTGATTTTTAATGGACGGAATTCCCCCATTTTCTGTAACGCGACATGGCATTCATCAAGACTATATATAGGCACAGAAATAAATTTTTTTTTTTTTTTTTTTTTAAAACACACAACATACGCCACACGCACAAACAGCGATACATAACACACACACAACACACACACACACACACACACACCACACACACATACACACACACACACACACACACACACACACCAACACACACAAACGTGTTCCACAGCACACCACAACAAAACACACACCCCAAACCGAGTGTCAACACACACAACCACAACACACCACACACACACACACACACACACACATACACAGTTCATAATACACACACACACACAACACACAAACACACCACACATACCGACATCACACAGTGTCACCAACACACCCACCACGCACACAACACACACCCACAGATGTCAACATCCAGCACACACGACACACACACACTACAACACACAACAGTCAACAACCACACAACACACACACACATCACACAACATATACACCACAACACACACACCACCACACAACACCACACTCACACACACACCACATCTCACATCACAACACCACACACAACATCACAACACACACACACACGCACACACGAAACGCTCATCCCACCGCGCACACGCCAGGCACACACACCACAACGCACCTACGCCACAGACACACGACCCACACCCCACAACACAATCACACACATCCACACACTCACGCACACACACTGCACGCGTACACCTCAACGACACAACACACACACAACACACCAATATAATACTTATAACCCTACCATTCTATACTACTACCGTCATATATATATAGTATAGGTATTATATATATTATTATATATATATATTATATATATAATATATTAAATTATGGAGGGCGTGTTTCGTGTTGCTGTTGTATGGGTTGTCTGTGGCGGGGCTGTGTTGTTGTAGGGGGGGCTCGGGGAATGTACACCAGCCTCTTACTTGTCTGCAGTAGTCGGTTAATTTTATGAGATAAATATAACGACCAAATGCGGGATTTTCACCAGAGACGCTGCGGGCACACTAGCCACTTGTTACACTGCTGTTAACGACAATCTATCATTATTGCACGAAGGGTCGTTGTCGTATCAGGTACTTACATTATATGTACCGTGGTAGTTTTTTAGGTTGTTTGTATTATGTTTATATTTTTATATGAGGTATGTTTAGGGTTAGGGTTAGGGTTAGGGTACACTTCTTAGCTAGTACAAGTCTGGATACGCTTTGTGGATACGTATATGTACCTTTGTGTATACATATATGTTCCTTTGGTACATATATATGTAGTACCTGATACGACAACGACAGCATCACTATCGGCGAGAACAACGTGTAGCGCGCACACAGAGCTTCGCTTGGTGCGCGGGTTCACGAGCGATGACTCACTTAATCGTTTGATTTCCTAGGAAAGGATTTGGTCATTGGGCATTTTCGTGATTGCTCGCTCTGCTGAGTTACTTCCCATATATTACAGATAGCCCTTGCGGGTTAGTGACGTGTTGAATCTATCGCTGCGTCCTCGGCTATGCGCCACATCGCTGGAACGACCAAACTCCTGAGGAACTGCAGGCGGGAATCTTAGCTAGCGCTGTAGCCACCAATGCGAGCATTTGGTTTTCTTTCGTTGCGTTCGATAAATGGCACCAAATCTAACTCAAATACTTGAGTGTTGAATGTTTATTTTGTGGGTGCTGGGCTATGCTGTCCCAATGATTCGCGTGACCTATTCCGCATTGTGGCGTCGTCAATATATTAGTCCCTGTAGCGGCGGAGGTGAAGCCGGCACACAGCATGGAGCTAGTTGTGTGTAGTGTGTGTGTGTGTGTTGTGTTGTGTGGTTGCGTGCTGTGCGTGCGCTGTGCGTGCGTGCGTTTGCGTGCGTGCGCATGCTGGTTGTGCTGGTGTGTTGTGTGTGTGTGTGTGTGTGTGTGTGTGTGTGTGTGCGTCGCGCTGTCCCTACGTTACACGGTGTAATTTCGTAAACGTACACCATAACGTGTGATTGCATTCGTGCTAAGCCAAGAGACGCAAATGCGTATATGGCGCCTGATAAATGATTTCACGGCTTGTCAACAGTAGTTAGCAACATGAATACGCTGATATATTCAGTCTCTGTACGGAAATTCCATGTCCTATTTATAGAGACGGGGCGATTTATTGTAATTTGCGCGAAATTGGCTTGACACAGGCACATTATTCTACTAATGAGAATGATGAAGGTACAGCTGTTGACAGTTCAATTAAACCAACTAAAAATACGTGACAGCAAACGTACAGTGCAACCAATACCCATCATAAAACGCGCATTTGCGTGCGTGCGTGCGTGCGTGCGTGCGTGCGTATGTTGTGTGTGCGTGCGTGCGTGCGCGTGCGTGTGTGCGTTGTGTGGGTATGTGTGTGCGTGCGCGCGTATGTGTGTATGTATTTCTGTGCGTGCGCGCGCGCGAGTGAGTGTGTGCGTGTGCGTGTGTGCGTGTGTACGTGTGCGTGTGTACGTGTCTCTACAAAGGCACCGAATGCATGGTTTCACTTCAGAGTGCTCAGGGAAACTGATTTATTTTAAATAAACTATATCCTCATCCTACTACATCGTTAACCAAGTTCAAAAATGCAACGACGCCTTAATTTCATATTCATGAATCGATGACTATAGCAATTCATCTTCATGATCGATCTCTCGACTACTTCCACGCCGCAGCACTTTCTTTGACTATTTCAGCTTTCGCTACAAACGATGGCCTACAAACAGGTACTATCATCGCCATCGTCGTCATGTCTATCGCTGTTCTCCTGGGTGCCATCAGTGTGTACGTGTGCTGCTGCTGCCGCCGCCCGGTGACGGGAGTCCCGGCTGTCCGATCCTCAGCCAACCAGTCACGTCCGGCCGGAAACACTAGCGGAAATAGCCGTAAGTTTCTTCGATGTGGTGGGATTAGAGAGCATGTTGTTACGAAAATGATTATCTTGGGCATATGTTGAACATTTCCACATTGCGTTACCGTAAAGATACACGTCGATAACAAGCGTGTACTTTACCTAATCTTTAGAATACCTAGACGCTGGCGTCATGCTAAAAATAATTTTTAATGGACATAGTAATCTCGAGTGATTTTGCGTTTAGTATACGTACGCACGTTCGTCACTTTTATTAACTAAATACACTTATGGAAAGGATGAAGAGATTATAGACCTTCTAAATGGACGAATCTTCTTGCAGGACCAAATAACTACAAACACGTAAAAAACAATTTGGGGGAGCAGAACGTCAACGCGACCTCTAAGTCGCCTAGTAGCAACAAAAAACAATCCACTGGAAAGCAGCCGAAACTGGCAACCACAATAGACTCGCCTTCTGGTAGCGTTAAGGTCATCATTGATCAAGGTCAAGTGTACTACCCGCCCGAGTCTTGATAGAATGACGATGGGCCACGGCATCAGGTATTATTATTATTATCATCATCATCAGCAGCAGCAGCATAAGCATAATCATCTTCGTCGTCGTCGTCGTCGTCGCCGTCATCCTCATCATCAGCAAACTAATTTGAAAAATCGATCAGGGAAGAGCAGATAATAGTGCACACTCATATTGGTTTTTATTTCTGCGCAGATTGTACAATGCTAGAGTTGGCAGGCGAGCGGCGATGTCCTCACTAATCGTCGTCATGTCTTCCTATCTGCGACAAGTCGTTAGCAGCTGCTGACGTGTTCAGTCTATGGTTTGCTGTTCTAGCCTGACAGCGCCATCTGTTGTTAAAGAACAATTAAAGGGCGAAACTTGAGCGCGGATATTCGTATTACTCTAAACGTGTTACGTTTACTACCATAATGTGTAATTACATTAAGATATATAATTATATGTATTTTAATTAAATATATTAATTATATTAGATTAGAAATATCTAATTTAATATAATTAAGTATATTTGATACTGCTATTGTGCTCATGAGGTTGCGATTTGATAATTGAATGCACGTTTTGCCCAATGAACTCGCGAAATATTTGAGTGCAGCAAAAAACATTTTCTAAGTGATTGTAGCGGTCGTGAAGTGTGCGCGAAGCCTGAGAGAACGCTGTGCCTCTTAAGTTATTTTAGCTTCATCATCTAATGGTAATTTAGAGTTCATATTGCAATTTTCTGATACCCCGATGGTGAAATGGGGAGCCCCCTCCACACTGAGCTACGAACATTCGACATATGAATATAGGGACTGACGAACGATGCTCCGTTCTTTTTTGCGGACACGGCATATCGGATGCACGAACCAAACCCACGCTTCTCAAACCAAGTGAGTTTGCAATTTAGAATATGTGACGCATTGGACGCACATACTTAGGGTCATGTTGGGGACTCGTAGACCTCCTGCGACTAATGACGCCCCCACAAAAAATTTTACCGGTTAGAGGGCGCGCATGAATGTTGGAAATCTAATTCTAATAACAATAAAAAATGGTAAAACTACATTTTTTGAGCACGTTGTGTATGAAATAATAGTATTGCGCGTATCGTACGCGAAAAAATATTTACGGGGGTATAAATCGGTGAACTGAGCGTGTTTTACTTTTAACGATTTTATCATTCATCGCTTATAACTGTATATATATAACTATTTATTTATAGATATATATTGTCTGTGCATGCATGTGTGCGTGTTTATAATAATATATTTATCATAATCTATTATTATGGAAACTGATCAAAGGGCATGAAATGATGTGACGTGTTGCAAGGCGAAACTTACGTGTAGTCTTGACAACGCGTGCAGCGTATCCAACGTATTAAAATCACCCATATACTAGCAGATCAGTTATGTAAACACCCAATGTTTGTTTTGTCCTTAACGCGACGCAACTTATTCAATTTTAAGGCGCTCGTGGTGGTATCGTTATGGTAGCATCTGTGGAGGTTTAGAACATTAGAAGCATATTGAAATTAACCAGGTGTGAGGTTCAAAACCAAACATTCCAAATTTGAGTGACCAACTATAGATCGCTACGTTGTGATTGTATAAAACTATAGTTTCTATAATTATTTGCTATAAATATTAAGTGTGTTTTTCTAATGTTCGTATGGTTGTTTCGATAGATCTTCTCAGCAATCAAAAATACGTCAGAGGTTATCATTTACCAAGTATTAAGTGTGGAAATTATTATATAGCTTGAATTCCTATTATATACCAACTGTGTGTGTGTGTGTGTGTGTGTCTGTGTGTGTGTGTGTGTGTGTGTGTGTGTGTGTGTGTGTGTGTGTGTGTGTGTGTGTGTGTGTGTGTGTGTGT